TGATATGTCGATTAGAAGATAACGCGTTTTCGAAGTCAGGATGCGTCAGTGGCATTGCAGGATTCTGTTCATAGCTAAAGTTGAATGATACGATCTGAAGAACGGCCGCCGCCGCCGCAGAAGACTATGAAATGGGCATCAGACGAAATCTGTTTGATGTTTGCGTAGATATAGACGCCATTGTAAAATAATAAATGCGATTCTTGCATAAATGCGTGGTACTTTAGGCACGTTGATGAAAGCTGCACAGAGAGGTCAATTGGTAGAATGAATGGCTCCATTACACCTATATGATGCTCAATGTGGTTTTCTGACAAAAAAGGCTGAGAGGGGTCAGAGCAGCGACAATAGTTATTTTTTGTTTGAAGAAAAGACAATATTTACGTATTTTGCATTAAGTGCTAATTTGAAGGGGTTCTGTTTGAGACTTGGGGGCCTGCTGCAAGCCGGTGAATTCGTGTAATGTATGTTTTCATATTTTTGTTTCTGCCGCTAACAAAACCTGCTAATCAAGTTTCTGTATCATGAATGCTGCAGCGTTATGAGGTCATGACGGTGGTGAGGATGCCCTTCTGAGTAAGTCGTAATTTAAATGTAAGATATGCGGCCCATATTTTTTGACCATTATTTATGAATCATGTAAAGTGAGCTAGATGTTCTCGGGTGAATGATGAGGATAAAGATCTGTTATTCGCAATTGCATTCGAAAATATGTTAACTTGCTCATTCGTATACACTTATCCGTAGCGCATAAAGAACAGCGTCCTCTACACTTTAGAGCCCTCCACATTTCACGTGAGCTGAGGTGATGCCTATAAGGGGGATGCCTCTGCCAGCCAGTGTTCAAACACGAGTGGTCATATAGCCTCGGTGCCTGTTGAGGGTAAGAACATTATAGGTGGCGACCCAAAGTAGCAACCATGAATTTTGGGTAGCTATATTTGAAACAGTAACATAGCATAGGAAGATGTCTGTTGGGTATAAAAAGAAAAGACAGGAAGATCAGTGGCTGGGTAAAAAGCAGAAACAGCAGTCTGCGGTGTCTTTGCCCGAATGAAAAAGTTAAAATGGCAATGCGTTGGACACGTTACAAGAAGAACCGACCGTCGCTGGACCAGAGAAGCGTTAGATTTTGTACCAAAACAGAGTAAGCACCCCGTTGGAAGAGATGTACACCGATCGCAGGATGTGCTGAGGAAGTTCAGTTAGGTGAAGATCGTAGATAACTAAAGTTTATGGCAGTCTTGCAGTGGCCTTCGTTCAGCAATGGATCGACAAAGGTCCATGATGATGAGGAGGATGATAATGTATGGAGCAGAACCAATCGGAATTGAGCGTTGAATTACTACAATGGATCTTCGGGCTGCACTCGTCACCAGACTCTGACCGTAGGTAGTGAGTGAAACGATTGACAGGTGCCTTACACGTGGTGCTAGACGTGGTATTCATCATCGAGCGGTTCCTGTATCTGCTCTGTGTTCTCGGGACAAGGGGAGAAGAGCGCACAGTTAGATGGTTCACTTAAGCGTTGGGCATGCTGCAGTGTTCATCTTCTTACAAATAATCGGCGCCACGCGGTACGATCTACCGCTGTTTGTTTTAAAGTCACGTGATAACGTAATTTTATTTGTTTTGTTGTATTTGTTGTAAACTACGGCTGATCATTTGCGCAACTTTACATAGAAATGATGTAATTCTAACAGTTATTGCGAATGCGTGTTGCACAATATCATCTTGTGTTCATTAAGAGTTAAGACGGCGATTTTGTGTATTAGTTACACCGGACCTCTTAGGTTCTTCAGCCATTCACGCGGCTTTAAATACCGTCATTAAACATAATCTCCGAGTCTCTTTGATGAGTCTGCGAATCTTCACCTTCTGGTCAGAACGTAGACCGCATGATTGATTGATTTCACATGATTAATACATTTTTTGTGGTTTGATCAACACGGTAGTTCTGAGATCTTTCTTCTAAGTTTTTGTTTGTCCGGAAGTGTTTAGTTCCGGGACAGTTTTTTTTCATGAGGACGTCGGCCTTTCAGACTGTACCCGCCTAACCTTGCTTGTTAACTGATGGTTCATATAGTATTTTCATAACAACAAAATACTGGTTGCTGTCCTTGGCTGGTTCTGGTAAATGATCCCCTGGTTATGATGAAAGCCGAGGTTGGTTTTGTGTATAATATGAACGGTGCAGGCATCTTTTTCTGTAGTCACTGTATCCGAAAACGTTTAATCTTACTTTGAAGGTGAGCTTCTTAGTGAACGAGTTGTATATTTTGCGACTGTACTACTTATTAATGTGAAGATATTTATCCCGTGGATTCGCGTTTTATTTATGCAGAATAACGAATGATTTCTCCAAGACCGGATTTCACGGTGTATTGCACCACCCCTTGCTCCTGTTTGCCTGAGACGGTGG